GTAAACATCCTCAAGATATAAACTGGATAAAAGACAATATCTACGGCAACCAATGGGTGAAGAAAATTCCTAAGGGTTTAAATTCAGAAAAATGCTAGAAGTTTCAACTTTCAAGGGAATCAAAGTCAGAATCTACAACCTTTAACCGTCTGGCAAGCTCATTAGCATGCAGCACATTAGAAAGCTTTGATTGACCATAAGCAAAGAAGCTGCTGTACCTGCAGCATAAAAGTGTGAGAACATGTGAGGGGTTTTTCAAGAATGATGGTCAAAAAACCTCCCCGCACTACCTCCCTACACACTATCCCTTATTAATTCTACACAAATTTCATAAACAATTTTTTCTTTTTCTAATTGAGGGAGCTCTCTAAAAATCTTACCGTTTCTACATGATAATGTCACAGGCAAGGCGTGGAGGGCTATCCCCTCACTTTCCCATAATCCTGCTTCTCCTTCTTCACAATTACCTTCTAGAAAATGACAGTTATGATTTTTTCCTACACTACCTGTAAAATAGTTCTAACTTAATACTTTGACGAGTTTGCTTTATGTTTATCCCCATTTACACGAGAAAATTGCATGCCATTTATTTGTGTATTACTATTTTGTAGTGCATGAGATGTACTCAGTAACTCCCTAAGAAGAATCTCCAATTTTGTACTTCCTAAGTCTACTTGTTCGCATGATGAGCAGTTCGAGACATGGGCATGAATGGTTTTTACTTTTGACAGGTAGGCGGCTGTTTGGACTCTCAAGAGTACCCAAAAATCCAAGTCTCAACCACCACATGGAAAAACACACGCACCATTTTATAAAACAAGGAGATAGAAGAAACAGATTCTCAGTATGGTAGTACCTTCAAGCTACAGACATGAGTTTGAAGCTTTGGCATAAAAAAAAAAAATGATAAACTATGGTTTGAGAGTCTAGAACAGAATAACATATAGAAATGTTAACACAATTAAGCACTGGCAACCACAAGCTTACCCTTCTTGGTCGTTGATTTTATCAAAACGCACACCTTCACGATAGGGATAGCGGTGAGCTTCTGATGCAACAATCACTATCCTTCCCTCTCTCTTAGTTTGATGACATGTTTTCTTCATTTTGTCCAACAACAAGTTAGTCAAAAGAAAATGACCTGCATAACAGATACAAAACTAAAGATGGTAATGAAGATAAAGTGTTGATGTCAACAAGAACTATGCTGAGTTCCAATCCAATTACTGCTAAAAAATTTGAACATACAAAATTTGTGGATGCAATTCAACTTGCTGCAGTGAACGGTTTGTCCCATAAAGAATAGGACCTACCTAAGTGATTTGTGGCAAACTGCAATTCAATGTTGTCCTTGGATAGCTTGAATGGGGTCGCCATGACTCCAGCATTATTACTTAACATAGAAAAGACAAAGACCAATCCCAGGAGTCAAAAACAAAAAATGAATAAACAAATAAGCAAATTATAAGCAAATAAAATTTACAAAATCGCAAAAAAAATACCAGGCACTTAATAAAGAGACAAGATGAGAGGAGACAAAGTTAGAAGAGTCTGATTGCTGTATAGATAGCATTTATTTACATTAGGATATTCAAGGGACGGCCAGACGACTTAAAGTCCTTTGCAAAATTTCTCACAGATGCAAGTGAACTGAGGTCTAACTCCGAGACATCAACCTTAGCTTCAGGGGTTTCCTTAACAATTGCATCTTTAACCTCTTGGCCAGAAGCCATGTTTCTGACCCCCATTACAACACGGACGCCACGCAGTGCAAGAACACGAGCTGTTTCAGCACCAATACCACTTGAAGCCCCTGCAATTTTGTTTGTTATTATACTACGTCATTCCATGCGTTCAAAGTTCAAACTGATACTCTTAATCAATCATAAAGGCCCACAGCCATGAACAAGAAAACGAAAACGAAAGTACTGATGTACTAGACGAGTATAAACAAATTGAAGGGCAACAAAACTAGTAGACTATTTTTGGAGCAGTATTCACGTCTCCACAAAAGAAAAGAAGAATAAACGAATAAAGAAATCTAAGGACCCGAAAAATTTAATAAAACAAAATGTGGACAGAAAGGTTCAATTGAGAAGGAAAGGAGAGATAATAGCAAGTGGAGGACCTGTGACAATGGCAGTGAGACCAGAGCCATCAATCCCCTGCGTGACTTCCTCAGCAGTGGAAGAGGATGAGAACCCAGATGGCCCTTTTCTTTTGAAAAGCCACATCTTTGTTCAATCGTAGTAATTAGCGAAGCTGCAGAAATTCCAAGAAGAACAAGAAGACGAGGTGGAGTTGGAGGCCTTATGTACCCATGAAAAGGTTCCTAATCCTTAATCACATACCGTGATGAATTGATGCTGGACGCCCCTGTGGCTCTGTCTATGCTACCGTAGGATGCCCAACGTGGGCGAGACACGCGTTAGGACATTAATTACGTTAAGGAATTATGACGCAACGGATCTTCTCTCCCACATCCTATGCCACTCTCTGTCTCACTCTTTATTATATTGTTATTTCTCCTACATAAATATCATATTTTAGTTCTTTTTTGTTTTCATAAAATTCAATAACTGTTAATTCAGTAAAAAATAAATACAGCAGCTTCAAAAAAGCAATATATAATAGCAAATTAAAAATATAGCAGAAAATTCATAACAAAACTCATTTTTTATGCATTTTTATTTTTTGAGTTTGTTAAATTTTGTGTATTATTCAATTAACAGTTATTGAATTTTAAGAAAACAAAAAAGAACTAAAACATGACGTTTATATAGAAGAAATAGCAATATAATAAAGAATGGGATAAAAAGTGACACAGGGTGTAGGACAGAAGATCCGTTGTGGAATTATGGTCACCTGCGTAGAATAGTTCCGACGAGTATGAATAAATGGACTGAAGAAAATAATAATAATAAAAATAAAAATAAATAGCATTTTTTACTCTACGTAAAATTTTTTACTTTAACATTTTCCTTAGCTTCAAATGACAAATAGCATGTATTGTCATTTGTAAATTTTTTTTTTTTTTTGTATATAGGATGTTATAAATTAAATAAATGGTTTGACAAACTAATAAACATCAATGTATGACTACCTTAAAATGTAAAAATGATAAATTTTTTCCCTCGATTTGTCATACAAATAAAAAGTTTTACTTATTTTCTTGTTACAAAGGGTTTGAGCAAGGATACAGTACTTTTAAATTATACAAAAACAATAATGACTTTCACTCTTTGCAAATATATTGTGTATATCTTATCTTTTCATGCAAAATTACTATCTTTTCAAATTAATTACTTCCAACTCTGCGAAAGCAATTAGTGCAAATAATACTTACACATTTTAAGCATTAAAATTTACATAACTATACTACATACCATTCACTAGCTTAACACTTCTTGAAGCTTTCCTAAATAATATTATAGAGTTTACAATTATTTTTAATCCTTTTAAAATTTAGTTTAGACCATAGAAGTTGTCTTTCCAAATTGTAAAGGCCTTTACAAAAATCCACAATAGTTTTAATTGTCAAAAGGTTCTAACACATTTATTACGATTTTCAAGTTCAAAAAACAAATAAAATCCATCAATTTCTTTTTAACATCTTATGCGAACCACACCACAAGTCCTTATCTTTACAAATTATAGAGAGTTCTACAAAACAATCATATAAAAATTGCTTAACAATTCAACAAACAAAAAATAATCACTAATTGCATGTAATTGTAAAGACAAGGGAGGGCCAATGCTACCGCTAATTATGAATGGGGTGAAGAGCATTTCATGAAAAATTAATGAATGGGGCTGAACGCGATTTGTAAAGTATGTTACTTGTTTATTGATCTTGTTATTAAGGACATAGGTGTAAAATTGGTGTGTAATTTTCACAAGTCCTCGAGTGACACAGGCAAATTAACCACCACTTCTCCTTATGGGTGGGAAGTTAGGGGTTCAAACCTTGTCTCCCACCAAATTGTCTGTCCCTCATGGACAACTCAGTTGGTCTCAGCAAGCCTCCTTAGGAGCTGGTGTCTAGTGCCCGCAAGGGTCCGAGTTCCGTGATTATCGTGTTCGGGAGGATAGGGCCTCTCCTTCCGAGTCAAAGTGGGATTAGTCGAGCTCCGTAAGGATTGATCCCACTCCGTCAGGAAAAAAAAAAAAAAAAAGTGTGATACAGGCAAATTGAATACGTGTAAGTGTAACAAAATTTGGATGCCGGAGATTAGGCAGCGCAGGTTGTAGTTGTGATGGAAAAGTGTCACATGTCAATACACTAGAAAATTGTGATACTGTAATGAAGAAAATGCTTTTACATTTGTTTGTAGTTGGTAGGGATAGTTTTGATTGAATCTGATAATAAAGATGTTGAGAAAAGAAAACTACTTCGGCGTGTACGAAACCATTGAAAAAAAAATGGTTTTGATTGAATCTGGTAATAAAGATGTTGAGGAAGGAAAACAATTTTTTGTCCTATTTAATTTTTAATTTTATTCTACGGTGCCAAACTCCTTGCCAGGCGCCTCGCGCAGCTTTGACAAGTCAATTACTTTCTAACTGCCTAGCACAAACAACAAGACGTAATTTTGTATGCATGCGGTGTAATTTTGTATGCATCCGGTGTAATTCATTTTGACAATAAAACTTAATTTTATATACATACGGTGTAATTCACTTTGAACAAATAACGTGTAATTATAAAATAAAATTTTATAATTTTCACCTATAGTATAGTGTGAAAAACGATATACAAGATACAATCTAAATCTTATATATATATATATATATTTTTTGGGCAAATCTTCCTTGTACTAATATGTGCACAACTCGCAGTGTGCTCATAATTTTTCTAAACATCTTTTTAAAAAAGAAAGTAGACTTTTCTACGCAAACAATTATTAAACAGAACTTATTTTCTTCCCACTTTATTATTATACCATGGTCGAATTTATCAGCAGTATATAATATACGTCCATTGTTGTAGAACTGGTTTTTCAGGAATCATCTCCATTTTGCTTTACCAGGTTCAAGCTAAACTCCCAGAGTCTGCTAGCCAAATCTGCGTCCATGGCCTTTGAGCTAGCTTTGGCTATGTTGTTGTTCCGAAAATATGCACCGCTAATTCCCTTGACTTGCGGATGCAATGCTGCATAGCAGGTTGTCGAAGCTCCCTGGAACGTCCGAGTTAAAAGGGGTGCCGGGGAAAAAAAAAACGAAGAAATATTAATTGGTCGGAAGGCTCTTGCCCTGAAATGGCATTATCATCTGCAGCATTCGTATAGTCAACTAAACATACGAACATCCTCTAGAAGAATCATACAAGTAACCTTTTGTCCCTTATCCCGGATAAACTTCAACATTTTACTACTGGTTTTACAGCACCAAAACATGAATTGTGAGAGAAATTAATACGAAAATTGGATGCAAAACTTACTTGTTGAAGAGTCTTAAACACAAATTTGTCGAGCTTATTGGCAAGACCTGCATCACGCATAATAATGCATGAGAATAGATCCAGGGGCCCTGGAGAGAGTAACGTAGCCAATTCCCGTAAATTCGAATAAATAGGAGCACAAGATTTCTTGGAAATTTTTGACGAATTAAGAATGGATCCGCGGGTAGATGTCTGCAACATCATCAACCGTTTCTTATAGTTAGGCTATTGAAATTAATCAAGTCTGAGAAATTCTAGCCAGCCTTGTCCTTGGCTATCAGAATCCGCAAAATGGCACCATATGATGTACGCATTTCATTTTCAAGTTCGACTTTAAAAGGGATCCATTCAGTGAAAGTAGTAGTTTGCGGATACCTATACAGCAGCCTCGACGATGGAAAACATTGCTGATAATCACTCCTGGATGAACAGAGTTGGCGGTTATTTCCACCCCTTCTTCCTGTCCAACAAACAAATGCACAAAGTACATGAGTTTCTTACGACGGAAATCGGTTTGCCAACTATGGGACATGTTGTTATAGAACAGTCAACATTAAAGACAAGCAATCTATATCTATATCTATGTGTATTCAGGAAGGGATTTTTAACAGAAACCCTCTCAATGACTTCTAAACTTCTCATTCTTTTTTCTAGATTTTTGTATTTATTTTAATACATAAAATGTAGTGGGTTATAACCCACCTTATCACCCATTAATATTCCCACTATCTCACTCCCACTATTCCACTATCTTAACTCATTCTACAACCACTCCTACAAATTCTCTATTCCCACTATCTCACTCCCACTCTCTCTCAGTTTCTTATTTGTTTTTGGTTCTCTATTCATTTTGTAAATGTATTGATTTTGTTTCTTTTATGAGCAGTAGTGGAAGATATTATGTGCAGAGACTTTAGCAGAACTCAACCTTCTTGTGGAGAATTGGAAGTATATTTTTGCCAGCTTAATTTTCCAGGTCAGTCCCCTCTGCCTTTTAAGTATGTTTTGTTTTTGCTTTACTTTTTGTCATGAATGATATTGCATTGATTTTCTGATCATCCATTATTTCTGAAAATTTTTTACAAAATCCTATGAACGGTTGTTTGCTTATTGTTACATTGTAAAGCAAAGATAGTCAATAGTAAAATAAAGTATAAACACAAAATCACAATCACATTTCTAACATAAGGTATTGCTTGCTTATATAATTGCGGATGATATAGGTTCATGATTGAGGGTTTTACTATTTCTAACATAAATTGTATATTATAAAAATTTATTTGTTTGTATTACTGAAAATTTTAATTATTTTTTATCGCATATTTATCACATAAAAAAGGTGTTACGATAGTTATTTTCATAATTTTATTCAAAAAATAATCGTGCATGAAATAAAAAAATATTTTTTGATAATAAAAAATAATTAAAAATGATTTATAATTAGAGAAAAACAATTCAGATACTACTAATAACTAAGGCACTATACGCCCATTATTAAAATTGGATTAATTTTTAATTTCGTCAGAAATCCTTTTGGCAAAATTGCATTCTAGCCTTTATTTTTTTTATCATTTTCTCTCTGCATTGACTGCAATAATTTTCACTTCACTTTTAATGGGTGAGCTTTCAAAATTGGTAGAAAGAGAGTTTATTAGGATTCAAATAACTATTCTGTGTTGCATCTTTTTGAGATGCTAAAGAAGACATGAAACTTCTTGAAAAATGGTATGTTACTTTTTAGAGTTTGAATCACAATATTACCTTCATTTTTTGTATTTTTTTATTTTTGCATCAATTGAATTAGAAAAAACGCGTCCTTCTAAATTTGGATTATGTTCAGCAGTGATGCCAAAGACCTAACGATATCTATATGAAAAAAAAACCCAAGGGACATAATTATATATCATACTAGATATCAGGAAACTAACTGTATAAAGAAAATAATCCTAACTCATATTTTGGCGCTCTACCTGACATAAGACGATGATTTTTTTTTAAAAAAACTGGTTTCTCTTGGTATTTGAAAATTTTCGAATTCTAATTGAATTTAAACCAAAAGAATAAATTAAAAATTATAGAGACTGCCAAAGTAAAAGACAATATTGAATTGGATATTAAAAGATGGTTTAAACATAGTAGGGACTACGAACCAAAATCTTTGAAAAACAATTCTGTATCCAAAAAATTAAAAAAAAAACCTACAAGAACAAACTTATTTTCCCAAAAAAAAAAACAAGAAAAGAAGCCTATAAGAATATATGCCCTTTTCCAAATTTAATAATTTATCTACATTATGAACATTTTATAAACTAATACATTCCTTTTTATTAATATTAAAATTTGATTTTAATATACAAGTGATAGCAGAGGGAATGAAACATTTAGCGACATGTGAAAAAATCAAAAAGGACAAAAGCAATTAGTGGGATAATTTCGCACAAAATTCATGAGTTAAAGTGCAATTTGAGGTATAAATGGGAGGCATTTTAGTGCATTTATTGGTTTGTTTTAATTAAGTGGTGGTTGGTTTTGCGGGATTTGGGGGGTTTACATGTACCAAAATATATTTATATAGGGATTACTTCATTAATTATGGGTGCTAATAACAATTCTATTGGTGCGTAATTTTCATTTGATTACAACACAATTGTATTAAATTCTATTGATGCTACTTCTATATTAACTATTGTATTTTTTTGTTAACAATTCTCATACAATATATCACTTACTACACATAAAATAAATACAAAAACTATTTATTTTTGATTTAATATATATTCTTTATCTAGATCAAAGAAATGAAAATATTGCCTCTCTTCAAGTTCGACAGCCATCCGCATCACCAATACTTTTGCGTGATCATGATAAATATGCAGTTTTTTATATCGTCAAAGATCGTGCATTTTCATTTGTAGTACACACTCCACAAAATTCAACATAGTTAATTAAATCATCAATTTTGACTTTCGTACTAAAAGTGGATTGGTGTGAAGAGTGTTCGCACCTTCAAGAAAGATTATCAAATCGAATGCTTAGTATTTGTAAGTATTTCATTTTAACAACATTCAATTACATTCATTTGTAGAAATATATCATTCCCTTTTTTAATATAAATTTTAATTTTTTTTTTCAGGATCCATTTTTCAAAAAAAGACAGTTCTTGAATGATATACACATTCTATTATATTTCAAACTATTGTTAAACAGATATTACATTTAAATTTTGTTGGTTCAATTTTTTCATCTTTATTTGTTCAACATTTTATTTTTTTCAATAATATCAGTACCGTGCGTAGCACGGGTATTCACACTAGTTTAGTTTGTAACGAAAAAGTGAGCGGAATAGCAGCAACTCTGCGCGGATCCTAATTGTGTGAGTAGTGTATTATTTTGCTGTGCTGGAGTATTTCTGTATTTTTTTTCTACGCATCCGGTGCCTCCTTTTTCATTTTTTACAGGGCTAAAAGCTTCTATCAGTTAAACTTTTTTTTGTCGCAATAACAACATTTGTATAATTTAATCTAGTGTGATATAAGTAGAAGATGAGCCAACGAAAAAATCCCGTGAAAAAAAATCATAATTAAGTGATAGTCAAAATTAAATGGCAAGATAGGAGACAAGAAGTGAACCTTTAACTTCCCACCCCTCCGGTTAGAGACGCTGTTGGCTCTATCAGTTAAACATTGACTTGGTTTCACGTTGGGCACGAAACATAGCATAGGATAGGCGGGCCGATCGAGCTATATGCACCAACAAAGATGTGCCTTGAAGACTTGAAAAAGGCATTATTTTGATTTAGTTAAGGTGGAGTAGGAATGTAGGGATCTAAACAAAGGCAGTACGTTTAATTGTTGTTAGGTGTATAGGATCTATGTGTTTTGTGGCTTGCCAGAAGTGTGTAAGTGGCCGTATTAATGTAACAGTGAGCTGGGTTGTGAGGGAAGCCATCATAGCTAAGGTACCTGTATCCCATCAATTGGCTGATCACTTGCTACAATTAGGTACTACTGTACTTCTTTTAAAAAAAAATTTTTTTTATTGCACCTTTGTCGAATAAAATCTCTTCTAGGTGTCCAACAATACAAAGTTCTGTGTACATCCTACATGGATTTATGCACCGAACTGAATACCTTAAAGCGTCTGGCTAGCTCATAGGAGTGCAGTAGATTAGCGAGCTTTGATTGACAATAAGCAAAGAAGTTACTGTATCTGCAGTAAGGCAGTAAATGAGGAGAAGAAAAAAGTTCCAACTGCTTCAAAAAATGTGATATATGCTGAAATTATCCAAGGTTCTCGGGCGCACAACTTCAAAAAAAATTCAGCGTTAATGGGAATTGAAAACATACCCTTTTTCATCACTGATCCTATCGAAACGAATACCTTCACGATATGTGTAGCGGTGAGCATCTGATGAAACGTTGACTATCCTCCCCTCTTTCTTACTTTTGTAATACGTTTTCTTCATGGTGTCCAGCAACAGGTTCGTTAAAAGAAAATGACCTGCATTTCACAATGACCAGACCAGTTAATGTCTTAACCAAAGATTCAATGGAGAAAAAGAAATTACCTAAATGATTCGTGGCAAACTGTAATTCTATGTTGTCCTGGGATAGCTTGAAAGGGGCACCCATGATTCCTGACAGGTGCCGAACCTGTGCAATAATAAATACCTACTCGAGAAAAATACAGATTTTGTATATAGCGGTGAGTAGGGTCGAATCCACAGGGACTGGGGATAATTCGTTTCTTCTAGAGTTCAAAGTATGGGGGGTTTTGGATTAAATGCCAATTAAACAAATTAAATGCAGAAAGTAATTAATTCAAAGAAATAATTAAGGGAAAACTCTAGCCAAGGGTACACGTCAGAAATGGTTCAGGCACTGATCATTGATTCACAGATAATTCCAACATCTAGTAATAGATTAGTTATAGTTGTCATGCACGCGATAAACAACCAACCCTTTCTTAATTTTTCGATAGCTAAGGTACGACCGTTAGCTATTTCTCTAACCCAAAAACAACCCCAGGTACGACCGTAGGATTTAATTTCTAGATTGCATTAATAATTAGAAAGGCCCAATCCTAACTAACAAACACGCTACGAGGGTTTGTTTAAGCTAGATCATATGCTCCCCTGACATAAACCCAATTACGCCAGTTGCTACTGAGGTAGAGATAACGAACAATTACGGATTCAATTACCCCTATTTAGCAAAATAGCCCCTATGAATAATTAATTATTGCGCACTAATCAATCATACACAAGAGCTATAACAGTTAAAAGTAGGAAACACATGAATACCAATAAATGGAGGAAACAATTAAAATAAATTCGATCTCACAGTAATTGTTGAACCAAATCTTCAGTTGTCCCCTTGACTAGAATTAGAAAATTAGTTCATAATTGATGAACTAAATCCGCCAGAAATTGTAGCAAAAGCTGCGGCCATCAATTGGGAAGCTGGGCGAATTCAATTCGTCTATTCAATAAAGAAAGAAAGCTACAAGAGTCCACTGAGTGTGTTCGCTTTTGTCCGACATTCGGAGAAGAGAAATTGAATAGGCAGAATCAAAGACATAAGCTAAGCTCCTCAGCAATCTTCCATGCGTGGGAAAAAGCTAACTAACAAAGACTAAGAAGAAAAGTCAACAACTGCGGCTAAGCTACAAGACGAAAAGCTCTCCAAAGAGAAATCAAAAGCTAAGCTTCCGTAGTGCTAGTCCTATGCTATTTCTATATTTCCTATCTCCTTTGCGGCGGCTCTCCTTCCGGAGAGGAAGAAGCCGACCCCCGCCTTCAGCCCTTCGTTGCTCCTTTTAATGCTTTTGTCTTCGGCAATTACTAAAATGGGCATAAGTTTGCCTTTGCCAACAATGCCCCTGGGATAAGCTCTATACCTTAGACTCCTTTTCTGTCAAATTAGCACTTGTTATCATATTTTCGTTCTACTCCCTGGAATATATGCAAAACACTAAAAATGAGTAGAATTCAGCAATTAATCTACATCGGGTCAGGTAATAGGGAAAATTAATAATAAAATAAATGATAAAATTGCAACCTATCAATTCCTGCATTATTACTTGAGAATGAAGAACATGCTTCAAAGATCAGAAATTCTTGATAATACAAAACATTTTTGAATAATCTGCTGCTCTGCTTACATTAGGATATTCAAGGGATGACCCAACGAATTAAACTCTGATGCAAATCTTCTTACAGATGCCTTTGAACAAAGATCCAACTCCATGACATCGATCTTGGCTTCAGGGATTTCCTTCACAATGGCTTCTCTAACCTTTTGGCCTGCAGCCATGTTTCTGACTGCAATTGTGACATGGACTCCACGCAGTGCAAGAACACGGGCCGTTTCAGTACCAATGCCACTTGATGCACCTGCAATAAAATGCCAATTGCCACCATCATCAAATGATTCGCTTGTTTGAAGAATTTCATTACATCCAATTAATCCCACGTTTTGATATTCATGTTATTTTTATTGGTGCTCATGCTTTGGCGTAGTGGTCAAGCTGAAGTTTAAGGACGCAGAAGTCCAGGATTTATTTGCACATGCATTTCATGAGCAATGTTGCTAGGCATTCTAGCTAGCAAAAGATATCGGGATCCACTTCCCACAGACTACGTAACCCAGAACTCCGATCATGAACTACGTGAAACCCGCGGAGCTTTAAATAGAAATGTTGGAGCATGAGGTTACCATTGCGAAGTGCAATATGAATAAATGAACTGAGTTCGAGAAAAAAAAAAAAAAAAGACGAAGAGATGGGAAGATCACCAGTGACAATGGCAGTGAGACCAGAGGCGTCAATGCCCTCAGTGACTTCTTCCGCGGTGGAAGAGGATGAAAATCCAGACGACCCTTTTGTGTTGCACAACCACATCTTTTCCTTCAAGTTCAAGATGCTTTCTTTTTCTAACTTACTTTGTTTAATGGCTAGACCTCTTTGTTCAAGGGGGAAGGAGAACGAGGAGGGAATTGCACTAACCCCAGTACGTAGTAGTGATTGCAGGATGATCAATACTTGATGTTCTTTGGCGATGGGCCAAATGCCAAATGTGTGCGCTACTGTAATCTTCAATATTTAAAGAGATTGATTGTTGATTGACGGATAGTGGTTGTTTCAGTCGCATTGTCAGCTCTGTATCATACAAATGGATACGTGTATCATTTTGGATTTGGCAATTGATGGATGGACAGCAATCTGGAATCGGGCTGCCCATTCCATCCTGATGGGGTTACAACTTAAAATTCCACGATCGACGTCGCCTTCGCTGAAGCATAAGAACATGTGGATATAGGGAGAACCACAAGGCACCAACATCCCGCTTCTCAAACCAAAAATGGGCTATAATTAGCAGTAGTTAGATGTCAGTCGTCGAGTCTGAAGTCAACAGAGTAAGCTAATTGAACTTGTGCTGCTAATAAATTCTGGAGTTTGATTGAAGTTGAATTAAAACGCTTGCTTGCTTGCGCGCTTAACTGGCATCAGTTTCTGTTGATAGGAAAGACAGACGTTCTTCGTTGGTTGCGCACTTCTGATTCGAATGAAAACCAGTTTAATTGCGACCTCCAACCTTGCCGTAATGACGGAAAAAGGATTGGTCACAATTGCTCCAACATCGACCAGACTTCATAGTTGCCCCATCATCCTGTTTAAGGAACATAAGCATATTTGATTTTACTTGAAAACTAATGACAAAAGTGTTACTTCAATAAAAATTTACGTACTCTTCAATACCCGCTAGTGTTTATGAATCTCTCAGCTGGATAAAGTCCAGGGTTCTCAGGAAGGGGAGCAAGCAGTAATCTTAGAAGCTGGAATTAAAAGTCTACAGACGGTTAACACGGCACCTAATTTATCCTAGTATCTATTACCAGTTTCATAAAAGCGCCTAGAAAGTTAAATACACAAAAATTGTCTAGTTAGGGGAGGACTTATAAAATTTTTCGTTACTGTCAGATTCAGAATTCGAATCCTATCCTTGTCAGATTCAGAATTCGAATCCTATCCTTGACTGACGGGGGTAGGGAGGGGCATGGGGAGCGTGGGAGGTATAAATAAAATTAAAAAAAAAAAAAACAATTGGGAGTAGAAAGGGTGTGGGGAGGAATGAGAATAGAACAGTTTGTTATTTGAGAGTTTTAGGAGAGAAATAGGAAAAAATGATTTTATTTTGTTTGGAAGTAAAGAGAAACAGAAGGAAAAGATTCTATTTTACATAAATATCCTTAAGGAAAAGCTAGTGTATTGAAAAAATTTCTGAAGTCCCTTACATTTCCATCGCTTTCTGCTCAAAACTACTAAGGTGGAAGAATTTCAGTACTGTGGGGGATGATAGGTCCCCCCCCCCCTCTCCTCTCTCTTCATTTCCTTCATTGCTAAAACGGAAGAAATCACTTGCATTCCTTACGAGTGCCTTCTTTATTCTCCAAATCAGATCTAAAAACTCGTGGATTTATATTTATGGCTTTCCCTCTAACTCCTTTAAAATCTTCCATTAATGATAACTTAGTAAGATTACTAGTCTAAGGTACCTTCCGCCCTGGCCCTTCTCGTCCACCTACATGCTGTGCGGGGAAAGACTGCACTTTATAGTCCTGGCCCTTCTCGTCCTCGTAAAGGTTCAAATCTCCCCCACATATTTTGTTCTTCGATGACGTTGTTACGGATGAAATAAGGTAAACCCACAAAAGTAATAGCGAAAAGTCTCGCGCCGTTCGTTCGGGGAAAGACTGAACCCAAAATGGGCACGGACTAGTTCAAGTAATGCCACTAAAGCATAATCAGGGATAAACCAGATATCATCCACTCTTAACAGCATTACAGACCAAGAGGAACAGAGCATCACTTGCTTCACCACGATGGATGAGAAGACATGCATGATGCCATACTCAATGGAGGAGCAAGCCTGTTAAGTAGGAAAAGCCACGAACATACACACACTACTAGAAACTATCTCATAGCACACGACAACATAGGTTTTTTCTTTTTTTGGTCTATTTTTCCTGGAAGATTTGGCTTCTCAGGAATCATTTGGTTTGGTTAAGCTGACGCTAAAATCCCAGAGTCTCCTTGCCAAATCCGCGTCCATGGCCATTGAGCTTGCTTTAGCTATGTTACAGTTGTCAAAATATTCGCCCCTTATTCCTTTGACTTGCGGATGCAATGCTACATAGCATGTTGTCGATGCTCCCTGATATCAGGTCAGTGGAGGGAGTACCAAATAGTTAACACCTTTTTCATGACAGACTTGACAAATTTAACACAAACGTGAGCCAATATGATTTTAGTACGAGGCATAACTTACTTGTGGAATGTTTTTATACACAAATTTTCCGATAATACTTCCAAGGCCTGCATCAGATAAAAAAAAGCAGATACATGAGAAAGACCACACATTTTTTAGATGTTTACATCAAGACAAGATCTCCACTGATGATTTCAAGACATAAAAGAACATTCTCCAGCCAGGATTTGGGGTTTAAGGCATACAATACCATCCCCTAACAACGTCATCAACACCATGTGTTTCATCATAGCAGGGCCAGTAGGGCTTGGTGTACCAAACAGAAATTCAAAGAACACCTAGCCCTTCTGACAACTGGCAATGCAAGAAGCATTTATACTAGGGTTCATAGCTTGCCACTAGAAATTTGAAGCTAATTGAACCTTTTTAAAGCATGCATAAACAAAGCATAATACAATAAAACAAAACCACCAAATAGCGAAGCACAAAAAAAATAACACATTCAGAAGGCTAATGCAGACGCATACTGTTAATAAGTTTGGGAGTACCTCTAAAAATGCCACTGTGACGGTAAAGGTTGGTTGTAATTCCACCAGGATGAAGTGAGTTGGCAGTTATGTCTGCATCATCTTCCTGCTAAGAAACAAATCATCAAACTGTTTTATGGAAGACATTGATTGATTTAGTTATTGTGACAATTTACAGAAGAACATCTCACATAAATGACAATGTTCATTCAATTAAGTTAACCATAATTGCTATTGCTCTTGAAAAGTTCCCCTTTTCTCTGAAGCACTTGCACTGCCTGTAGAAAAGTTGAATGGGTGTAATTTTACAACTGAGATTGTCATGGTTGACAAAGAGCCCATAATTATGGGACAAGAAGCAAGCCATGGATTCCAAAATTGGAGAAGCAGAAACATTGGCTGCAGTTAAGACATCATGTCACTGTGGTCAAATATTTGACCATATAAGATTTTTTTTATACTGACCCTTTCTTGTTCACTCTTGCCACATACTTCATCTTGTAGTTGGTGGCAGGAAGCTCATGACCAATTGAATCCAAGCTTGGGCATTGAATTATAGTATTACACGGCATGAATTAGTACCTACCTAAAATCAATAGAATTGAAAACTAACAGATGCTTTCTTTTGGAGACCTAGAATCCATCTCCACTTCTGGTTGTTAGATAGAAGTATTATTCGTGCTACTAAGATAACAATGAACAGAGAAATCTCGCACAGGAGACATATCATGTTATAGAGGCTGACCATTTCCACCAATGAGAAGGAGACGAGCTATGAGTAAGAAATGCATCTTATAAAGTTCGCAAGCCCTATCATGTTCAGTCCTTGATTTGCCAGGGAAAGAAACACCAAAATTTGCCAGGGGTGCACAAAATTTTGAGGTGTCTAAATTAAGAAAGACTAGAGTAAACATCCTCAAGATAATGCTGGCATATTATTATATAAGCTGGATAAAAGACAATATCTACAGCAACCAATGGGGGAAGAAAAATCCCAGGGGTTTAAATTCAGAAAAATGCTAGAAGTCTCAACTTTCAAGGGAATCAAAGTCAGAATCTACAACCTTTAACCGTCTGGCAAGCTCATTAGCATGCAGCACATTAGAAAGCTTGGATTGACCATAAGCAAGGTATCTGTTGTACCTGCAGCGTAAAAGTGTGAGAACATGTGAGAGGTTTTTCAAGAATGATGGTCAAAAGACCTCCCCGCACTACCTCCCTACACACCATCCCTTAATAATTCAACACAAATTTCATTAACAATTTTTTCTTTTTCTAATCGAGGGAACTCTCTAAAAATCTTACAGTTTCTACATGATAATGTCACAGACAAGGCATGGGGGCTATCCTCTCATTCTCCCCTAATCCTGCCTCTCTTTCTTCGCAAACCTTCTAGAAAATGATGGCTATGATTTTTTCCTATATTACCTGTAAAACAGTTCTAACTTAATACTTTGACATGTTTGCTTTATGTTTATCCCCATTTACACGAGAAAATTGCATGCCATTTATTTGTGTATCAGTATATTGTATACTATGAGATGTACTCAATAACTACTGCTTAAGAAGTATCTGCAATTTTATACTTCCTAAGTCTACTTGTTGGCATGGTGAGCGGTTCGAGATATAGGTATGAATAGGTTTTACTTTTCACAGGTAGGTGGCTACTTGGACTCTCAGGAGTACCCAAAAATTTAAATCTCAACCACCACATGACAAAACACACGGCATTTTATGAAACAAGGAGAGAGAAGAAACAGATTCTCAGTATGGTAGTACCTTCAAGCTAAGACATGAGTTTGAAGCTTTGACATTAAGAAGAAGAAGAAGAAAAAAAAAAAAGAAGGAAAGAACAATGATAAACTACGGTTTGAGAGTCTAGAACAGAATAACATATAGAAAGATTAACACAATTAAGCACTGGCAACCACAAGCTTACCCTTCTTGATCGTTGATTTTATCAAAACGCACACCTTCACGATAGGTATAGCGGTGAAATTCTGATGCAACAATCACGATCCTTCCCTCTCTCTTAGTTTGATGACATGTTTTCTTCATTGTGTCCAACAACAAGTTAGTCAAAAGAAAATGACCTGCATAACAGATACAAAACTAAAGATGGTTATGAAGATAAAGTGTTGATGTCAACAAGAACCATGCTGAGTTCCAATCCATCCAATTACTGCTAAAGAATTTGAAGAATAGGACCTACCTAAGTGATTTGTGGCAAACTGCAATTCAATGTCGTCCTTGGATAGCTCGAATGTGGTCCCCATGACTCCAGCATTATTACTTAACATAAAGAAGACAGAGACCAATCCCAGGA